CCCTAAACTTATTGATAAGAAAGGTTTCCCAATAAAGAATGGCAACAAAATATAATATTTTCCATTATGCTGTAGAAAGATAAACTACTGCAATCAACGGCCACCACACTGCCTCAACTACACTGCCAACACAAAATCTACACTACCCGCACATGAACATATTAACTTCCAAACCTACTGCCATCAAAAGTGTTACTACACCTACTTTGACCATGCTTCTAAAGGATAGAATAGGAGCCAGAGATTCTAACAAAATGTGTCACTTGAAAAATACCATCAAGAGCAGAAATGAACAGTTTCCATACCAAAAGAGAAAACAGCAGAACCTATATATTAATAAAATAAACAAGTAAAGCACAACTGACTAAATAGAAAGTATCCAGAAGAAAGGATTTTGTAATTGGTTTCACTTGTAATTTGGAAAGTTATGAGCACCAAAAATGCACAGAGTTGCGTTGTTACTTCAATTTTCCCAGTGGGGACCCAAAGACATTTAAAATTGATAACCAAAATAACTAATTCACAAAGAATAACCTTTCTCACCCAAAATGTCGTAGCAGAATAAGAGAAAAAGAATTATACAGAAGAACACTAAAGCACACATAATAAGAGAACAAGAAATATAAAATCTTATCAATTGAGGAAAACACACATCAAAAACATATAAAATTTGCAATATAGACAAAAGGTATGAATCCAAATATGGAACCTTTCTTTAGTGGTCGTTTGGATTTATCAGAAGTCTCAGCAGCTTCTGATTTTGAGGATTCAGATGAACCCTCAGATTCTCCAGATACCATCTGCCACATATGAACCACAGATCATACATCACAGGTTATGAAAAGTATATGTAAGTGCACCATGGCTAGCATACGTAAATCGTTAAGAGCATTTTTCCTTTTTTTCTTCTAAAACATGCCTCATATTCCAGAAGTTGTACTTAACTTTTAAAACCATCAATCTCAATATAATTAACAAGAAATCCTTTCCAAATAATTGCAGGTTACTAGTCAAATATTCATTTTTCTATTGAACAAAAAAAAAAAAAAACCAAAAGTATAACAAAGATGAGCCAGATTTGATATTCCAACACCCTGCATACCCACTGTGAACTCATTGGGTATTCCTCTTAATTTTCTTGTACTAGTAACTACATGAACTCCAGTCCCTATGTCAATGATATATCCATATAAAATCAGGTCATTCGGCTATTTCATATTAAAGATGTACAAGAAATGCTTTTTATTTCCTATTGACGTCAATAAGACCACTACTTGACTTTATGAATCACCGTAATATGATTAGGGTAGAACGAATAAGAATACAAAAACCCTGATGCTTCAAAAACCATACCTTTGCAAAGTCTTCAACAGGAACAAGCTTCTTGAGTGCTGCTTCAGCTCTTGCATGCGCATCATCTTCATCTTTATCACTACAATCTGATTTTGCCTCGTTACTACTAGTCCAATCTTCTTCATGATTCACATCATCCTCAATCTCTGAATCTGAAGTACTCTCCTCCACATCATCATCCGATTCAGACTCTGATTGGCAATCATCACCAAAATCCTGAGGCGGGCGTGGGCGGTGGGAGGGATACACATTCAATTTCTTTCAAACTTACATAGGGAGCAAGAACACTGCTGTCAAGCACCAGTAGGGGAACTTGGAGATCTTGTGCAAGAGCTCTAACTAATCTCTCACGGTAAAGTTCAGTGCCTGCAGATGACACACGGTAAGTTGATTATTTTCTATGAAACAAATTTAACTACAAATTATTAGTCACTTAGGAAAAATTGAAATGCACATGGTAATAATTTGATTTGTGGGACTTGTGACCAACCTGGAGAACTCTGAAGCAGTATTCTCCCACTTGAAGATGTCAAACGAGAACCATAAGTGGAAGTGAAATTTTTATGTTTCAAATGGGCAGCAGCACATTCCACCAAAAGGTTTTTCGTAGGTTCACTATAATAAAAATAACATGTTTAAATCTTCTCATAAGTAATGAGCAACAGATAAGAAAGGAACAACACCAAACACTAATGAGAAGCAATTACTGAATGTAGTAAGGAAATGTATCCCATGAGACAGTTATCTTCTCCCACGGAACAATCCTCCTCGAAAACTCATTTTTGAACTTCTCTCGTCTAGTCAAAAACGGTGACTCTTTCTTTTTACTCTCATTGGTAAGCTTTTGACTGTTAAGCCATTCCTTTTGATCTTGTTCCCCAAGTAGAGCATGTGCATCGAAATGCCTCGCATCTTCCCTAGCCTTTTCTTGTGAAGTCTTTCCTTTATCGACATCAGCATCACTTTTCACTGGTACTCGATTATTCTCGCTTGCATTTCTTCCATCCCCTTCAGAACTGTAGGCACGTAACTGACTACCCTTGAAACATGTATTAGACCTCACAAGCAAACCAGTGCAACTATAACCAGGAACAACACTCCGCAGCGAAAATGAATCTATGAGACAGCTTCTAATAAAACTACCATGCGAACCATGGTTTCCCGAAACTGTTTTATGAACCAAAGATTGAGAAGAACCTTGATCAATGTAGCTTGGTCTTATCGAATATTTGGACAGTTGAAGCACCCATCTCTGATTTCTACACTTTATTCTCCTTGCATTCATCATCACTTCCTATTTCCAAATCTTCCTGCGCTGCAAAGCATGCTCCGATCAGTACACAGTTGATTCTAGATTAGTGTTTGAATCAAAATAAAGATATGTGTAGCGTAAGGACCAAACGCATTGCATATACTTTCTGCTTTTAGTTCCTGGTTTATAAGCCTTTTTCTTTAATACAATAGGATATCCAAACATTGTTGCATAATTTTAAATATTCTTTCTAGATTTGTTTTCATGGTTCATTACTTTCAACACAAAACACCGAAAAGCTTGTATGGACAGGAAGAAATATTCTAATCAGAAATTCATTTAAATCATGCCTCAGACAGAATTTCAACATTATAAATGATTTAGAAAATTTTCCAACGGATATGTATTCGTTCCTTGATGGATCACCTAATAAATATTCTTTCTGATCAATGGTTTTCCGGTAAACATGCCATGCGTGCATTTCACAAACAAGAATTTGTTAGGCTTAGACCGTTGTAAGCACTGAAGAAAAAACAAAAGGCAAGCATCTACGTATGCTTTCATGATAAGTAACTAAAAGAAACCAAAAGTTCCAAACTTGGGAATCCCCGCATTATGTTCCTCTCCTTTCTTAGCAACCAAACAGAAGTGAGGAAACATTATTCGTCAATACGTAACAAAAAGAACAGGAAGAGAAAAACATAATTAAGTAAAAATTTCGACACATTCAAATCCATTTGAGATAACAAGTGTGTTCGTGAGAGCTAGAGAGGTACCTTATTTTGATGGTTTCTTTAAACCCTAGATTGGTCCGTGGCCATGAAAAAGAGAGAGGGAAAAGAAAGAGAGACAGAGGCGGTAAAAAGGGAAGCGAAAGATGGTCCTAGACGACCATTTTAATGGAAAAGGAGAAAGAAAGGGTGAGATAAGATCTAGGTCCTTCCTTCTCACTTATCTGGGCTCCGAAACCGCAAAGGGAGGGAGTGCGTGCCACTGCCCGCGAGTTCGATGAGTTTTAGCTCTTCAATTTTGGTGCGCCATGTCCTTGTTCCATTCCATCCATCCATCCATCCATCTCTAGGTTTGGGTTTTTTTTTTTTGTTGAGAAAATTTAGGTTTGATTTAATTTAGGTATGATGAGGCCCGGGTTTTATATGGGTTGGAGTTATTATTGATCACTTCATGGCCCAACGTTTGGTTTGTAACGTGTTCCAGCCCAAGCTCAAGACTTGGATTGTGGTGGTGGAGCCCGTCAGGCAGCTGTTTTTTTAATTAAGAAGAGGGGGCAGAGGTCACTTGTTGGCTGACCATTATAAAGATGCCACGTGGCATAAATTTTGAGTATAAAAAACACTGGGCAGCATTTCTGCTACACTCCTACAAGTATAATGAAAAATTTTGCTGGCCGAATGAGACTGATCAATTCGGTTACATTGTGTAATAAGAGTATCTATAACCGTACTCCCTTTTTTTTAGGAATTTACTATTATACTTAATATAGGAGTCCAAATTATTTTAAAAAAAACTCATATGAAATGGACTTTAAAAACACACCCAAATCTCATTTACAATATAATAAAAAGGCTTTGAGCTCAATAGAACATCAAAATAATTTAATAATCAAAATTCAATTCAATAAGGGCAACTATCATTTTTTGGTTTCTTTTTGGGTTTGTTTATAGAAATTAAATAGTGTATGATTTATTTATATTATTAGTGCTAAGAATGGGTATATGACTAAATATCTCTATTTTGTAGTTAAAATTTAGTTAAAAACACACCAAAGTTATTTTGGCAGGTCTCTATAAAATTTGAATTCCAATTATACTCCGTAGTTTAAAAAGTCATAAATATTATAGTTATTTTTCAATTCAATATGATTGACATGTCTTTATAAAAAAAATAATTAGTATTAATTAAAAGTTTAAATTATGTATAAAACAAAGCAACATTAAATTATAGTGAGACACTAAGAATTATTTTTCTCTCTCCTCAAATTTAGAAGCTCCTAGAGGTCTTGTTATTTTAGGAGGTAAAAAAAGAGTATAGTTGTAATTGTATATTCTCAATTTCTCCCTAAAATTTGTTTAAGAAAGTGGTTTAAATAGGCCCTTATAGATGCTCTAAGAAAAAGAAGACTAGAAACAAAATGTTAAAGAAGATAGTATCTTCTTGCCTTTTCTTTACTTCTCTCTCTCTCTCTCTCTCTCTCTCTCTCTCTCTCTCTCTTAATAACTTCAAATAAAAATATCCTAAAAACAAAATGACATGGATTCAATGTCACAGTCATCAAAAGCGACAAAAATTAATTTATAAACATCATCATTTCATTCATAGTACTTTTGAGTTTAAATTGAGTTTAAATTCTTGTAAAACAGAAAAGAAAAAAAGAGGCTATAGCTAATACCTTTTTATTACAGATTTTTAGACAACAAAACTAGAAATTGGACAAATCAACGATTATACAATCGTTAGAACAGCAACCAATCAACCGAAAGCAGGCAAATGAAGTAGAGAGAGACTCATAAAGAGTTATTTGCAATGGATAGAGCTTTCCTCCCCCAACTGCCAACTCCATCTCTAAGACTTGGAGAGAATGGTGGTTTCAGCGATCATGGAAGTCACTACGTATGGATCCATGTTGGACGCCGGCCTTCGGTCCTCAAAATATCCTGAAATTTGTGAAACCACAGATTAAACAAATATGTCCAGGTTGACTGTAGGTGGCGAAGACACTCAGTCAGACATACCTTTCCCAGCTTTTTCGGTATCACGACCAACACGGACGGAGGCTCCCCTGTTTGCCACGCCCTGTGATTTTACAATGCAAACTTGAGTGCTGAATTTAAAAAGATTAAAAGTAAAACATGATTTCAACAAAAACACAAGAAGAAATGTTGATCTTAGCAATGTGACATGAATGTTTTATAACTATATATTTAGCTTACCCAAGAGAAAGTGTGGATGTCAGCAGTCTCATGGCGACCAGTCAATCTCCTCTCATTGCCTTTTCCATATGCAGCAATGTGCTCCTTGTGGCACAAACTCAGTTTATCAATCGCCTTCTTGATCACATCAATTCCGCCATCATTTCTCATTGACTTGGTACTGAAAGGAATAACAATAGTCAATGACAATTATTCGCACACTTGACATGCTCTTTACTTAGAGGGCTCATCATCACATGTCATGTGATGTAAAATTACATTCCAATCCAATTTGAATTGAAGATTGAAGGAACCCTACCTGTAGTTAGTGTGAGCGCCAGCACCATTCCAGTCACCCTGGATTGGTTTTGGGTCCAACGAAAGAATAACTCCTGCAATTTCTGTGATTCTCTGTTTTGTCAAGCAGATCAACATATTATTAACACAAAGCCCTTCCATATTATATACAAAAGAGCAGAGCAGATAGATCTGTAATGTGTATATGTGGTTTGTTTACCTCAAGGATGTATCTAGCAGCCCATAGTTGATCTCCAGCAGCAATACCAACTGTAGGGCCAACTTGAAACTCCCACTGTTGGGCAACAGCAAAACAGGACAGATTAGAAGTTACAACACCACGTTTTATGCTGAAATTCGCAATAGCAACCAAAGGTAAAAGCATTGAGCATATAAATAACCTGGCCTGGCATAACTTCAGCATTGATTCCACTGACATTGATTCCTGCATAGAGACAGGCCTTGTAGTGTGAATCCACAATATCACGACCAAAGGCCTTGTCAGCCCCGGCACCACAATAGTAGGGTCCCTGCATGGATACAAGAAACAAAGTTGCTGCTATGTTTAGGAAACTTCTTTTCAAGCATAATTATAATATATTAAGGCATAAAATTTGTAAGAAGCTGTTGATGGCAATCAGATTGAGAGCAAATTAAGTACCTGTGGACCTGGGAAGCCACCCACTGGCCATCCAAGAGGCCATTTAGTATCCTTCTGAAGAAGAGTGTACTCTTGCTCAATGCCATACCTAAGCAATCATGAAACTTCACAGTAAAGGTTTTGCTGCAATGTTACTATCTTTTCTACCCAAAACAAATAGTTCTTATTTATTATACCTTTTGTGAGTATAATGATTGTGTTTGTGTCACATTTGTACAAATGATTGTATTTGTGTTGCAATTTGGTTGAACTCATTTTCTGAGTTCACTTTGGTATAAATGAAACTCGATTCCGAGTAACCAAAAAAAAAGGTTGCTTTTGTTATATTGGGCGTTTGTGTTTCGGCACTTTCTTGGTCCGGCTCATGCTTTTCAACAACTACAGCCTGGATTGGATGGGTCGATCCAACCCAAGTGATTATTTAGGATTTACAAAACTAATCCAAAAAATTAAGCTGGTCCCTTCCCGACATACATTTTCTAATATGATGATTACAATACAACGGGCGTGAGACAGTCATAATAATTAATTCACTTTAATAAAGGGTAATGCCTTGTTAAAGTCAGTCAATAGTGACAAAAGTGCTGGCAAGAACAAGTCAAAATGATGGAGCCCATCGCATTATATCTTTAAGACTATTATAATCCATCCTTTATTATCAATTTAAGGTATTTGCTTTGACCTTATCTAATCCTAGGCCAATCTATTCTGTAAAAAATTTGCACATGATTACCACCTAACCCACCTACCCACACTTGATAATTTAAAACCATCTAAACCTGCAATAACTTAAGGATATTGTTTGCTTCCTTACTTCTTTTTCAATTTGACATATAAGCAAAAATAATTCATCAAAAAGAAAAACTTATGCGCACATGCCATCCTATTATTGACAGGAATGTAGGAGCACCTCCTTAAATATTTTCCATAATAGGCAGCAACCATAATGGTCACACTTGTTTTGTATCGATCTTGTACCCCTAGAAATTGGCCCACCCCCACGACCACCTAACCCCTAAAAATGGCATATTTGTGATTCCCACTAGTAGTTGCTAAATTAGAATAACATTAAGGATACACCACATCATTGTCACCCAAAAAAATAAATTTTAATTCCTATACATGAGCAATTTAATTCCGTAGGGTCAGGGTGGATGATTGTAGAAAGGGGAATGCTAGCAACCTTCTCTTTAACCTTCTCCCTTCTTTGCTTGACATGTGTCATTCTCCTTACACTTAAAACAATGTCATTAATATATTTTACAAGTTAACTTTTGTTTTCCCAATTTACCCTTATTAAATGTATTCAATTTATCCCAAAAAAATTCACAACTTTCTTACCATCCTTTTTTTTTTTTAAAGAAAATGTCTGTTTTTTTTAAAACCCAAAGAACTTTTTAAATAATAAAAAAATCTAAACACTTTGTGTTTAAAAAAAAAGGGGGGGATATTTCCTCTTAAAAGCATATATTTTCTTCTTCTTTTAAATAATTGACGTTAGAAAAAAAATTAATAAGATGGTAAGAAAGTTGTGAATTTTTTTTGAATAAATTGAATACATTTAATAAGGATAAATTTGGAAAGCAAAAGTTAGCTTGTAAAATATATTAATGACATTGTTTTAAGTGTAAAGAGAATAACACATGTCAAGTAAAAAAGGGAGAAGGTTAAAGAGAAGGTTACTAGCATTTCCCTTGTAGAAAACAAACCTCAATACCAATTTTGCAGTATATAACAATTAATTAGTTAATGAATTAATACGCTATAATATTAAAATTAAAGTAGGAGATGGTAGTACCAAGGCTCCTCGGCAATAACGTCGGGGTGACTGAATATCTTGGCAGCATTGAATCTCTTGTTGGTGGGGATTGGCACCCCAGCCGGTGTGTACGCATCGCATATCACCTATTTCAATTCCAAAAAAGACAATATTACCCCTCGACTTCTTTTTATATTATGAGATATACTCGAATTCATAAAGCCAGCCTGGGGATCAGATGCAAATGTTTACCAGGATGTTCTTTCCTCTTCTGAATGGGTCCTTGAAAATAGCCTGGGGACTGAACCAGCCAAAAAAAATCCAAATAAATTTTTATTTTTATATTTTTAGGAAAGAAACTCACAAATTCAATGGATTATATAGAAAAATGCTTTTGATCATGGCCGTTGATCAGGATGATCATCATAATAAATGAAGGAAGTGGGAGATGGTGGTGGTGACTGCGATTGAAAGTGATATACAGATATATAAATATATTTATATACATACTACAAGATGACTTCACTGTCGTCTCCTGGGGCTTGGTCGGTGCTTGAACCGTCGTAGTTCCACTTGGGGAGTTTTGCTGGGTCCGTCACCGGTCCGGGCAGAGTCTGTTTAATATATATGCATTCATCCACCAATCATTTAATTTGATTTTAATACAAATTCAATTTAATCAAAGGATCCAAGCACAAAAAATAAAAAAATAAAAAAGAAAGAAAGGTGCAAGAGTGAAGAAGAAGGCCGTACCCTTGCTTTGCTTCTCAAGTCCAAACCAGATCCACCAATCCTATAACGAAAACAGACACGGTCACACAGTGCGTACGTTAATAATCTACCGGATGATAACATTTTGTTACTTCAAAATAAAAAGCGAGAGAAGAGGTAGCTACCATATGTATTCAGCGATGATCTTCTCAGTGGAATCAGAGAGATTGAGATTGATGAGATCAGAGAGGAGAGACATGATGGTGATGATGACGATGGGCGGGCTGAGAAATTGGGAATGGAACAGAGAAAGGCAAATGCGAGAGAGATATGGAGAAAAATGGGGGGTTTTGGTTTGGGCGTTTAAGTAGGTGACAAAGTCTACCACCTGATAATTAATTCATTTTCCAGATAAATAAATAAAAATATTAAAAAGGGAGCAAATATGGAAGGATAATTTCGTCAGGGAGAAACTTCCGAGGATACGCATTGTAACCAAATAAAGGATTGCGGAATCCCCAAGATACTTGAGAATATTTAATTATGGATCAACCCACACGTGCCTAATTCCGGTTTTAATTTGTAAATGAATCTTTCATTATGTTAATATTCTTTTTCCAACAATATTTTTCTATAATCGGTAAAAAAAATTGGCCCCTTTATAGTCTTCTTTTATCTATACATATAGAGAGTAAAAAGCATAGAATAGTAAAACATTCAAAATACCATAAAATATCATTAGTTAATACAAACATTAAGAATTGAAATTATTAGTTAAATGAGGATAATTTGATAAATTCACACTTTTTTATATTAAAAAAATAAAAGAAAAATCAGACAATGAATCCTATTTTTATGGAACACAACTACCCATTGTCTTTTTTAATTCTAAAATAAATTTAAATTTTAAAAAAAATTCTCTCGCAAGCGCGGAAGTGCGTGCAGAGAGGCTAATCTATTAATAATGCAAAAGGCAGAGAATAGTAAAACATTCAAAATACCAAAAAATATTATTAGTTAATGCAGATATTAATAATTGAAATTATTAATTAAATGAGAATAATATGATAAATTTCATATTTAAAAAAATTAACATTAAAAGAAAAATCAGATAATTGATCCTATTTTTATGAAACACAACAACCCATTATCTTTTTTAATTGTAAAATAAATTAAAAAAATTATTTAAAAAAAATCTCGCAGGCCCGGAAGCGCATGGGGAGAGGCTAGTATTTTTTTAATACAAATTCCTTAAATGATTGTATTTCTACATTTTTTGCAGTTGAAATTTTTTACCATTTGTTTAAATATTGAGGAAAAGAATTATATAATACGTGTATTATTGAAAAGTATTGGAAACGTATGTATTGCACATGACAAATGCCTATATACGTGTGTAATTAAGAAACATATGAAGAGTTTTTTTTTTCCTAATACACACATACGTACATTACACACAAATTTACTAATTAGACTATATACTAATCTATATTATGATTTTTTTAAGTGTTTTTCACTAAGGCTGCGTTTAGTTCATAAGAAATGGGTATTGGGAATGGGAAATAAAATGATTGCCTGGCACATGGAAAAAGAGAGAAAAAGTGAAGTCCTCATCCTCCCTTGGAAAACTAAGAGTATCCACAATGGTAAGATGTAACACCCCGTCCTAAAAAAATGATTGTTCAATTAATTATTTATTGTGAAATAACATTTTTGCACTTGAGTGCATGGGCACTTTAGTTACCTTTTGTTCGAGAAGGATTTTGGGGATTGAGTGGCACCGTTGCAACTTGCGTAGAGCTCAACGACAAGAGTTTATAGACATGCGGCATGCCCAATTCAAACCATTCGTAGACATATTCATCGACGGTATGGTCGGATTAGCAATTAGATACCTATTAGGCGATATCTGGGTTCAATAGGTTCGGACCGTTCGATCGGTCCCATTTTCTAATATGTCGTTCCTCATATCTCTAGGATCGTGTAGGAACTAGTTGATCGAGAATAGGTGTCCCGGATACTCCGAATCAATAATTTTATGGTTAAATACTAAGTCGACGTCTGATTGCGCGATCGTGAGTGATCCGACAACTCGATTGAGACCAAATTCTCAAGACGTGTTATGTAGACCTTGTTGGACTTATAGGAACGTTCGGACCGGAAATTAGAGGTTGTGGGCCCCGCATGCCCAATTGGTCAAATTTCGCGATCGAAGTCAAACCGACCTTTGGATCGTAACGAGACTTCTAGGATGGCTTTAACTCATGGTTACGGACCAATATGAATCGTCATATAAAAATAGAAGTCGAGGGCCCCACGAGCCTAGTTGACTTAGATAGTGGGTTTTGTAGGCTTGGTTGAGGCTATTTAGTAGTTGTAATTATATTGGAGATTTATTTTAAAGTGGTATTATATTGTGAGAGTTTTAGTAAATGTTTATGAATTACTGCAATCACTTTTACTTTCCAAGTATATTATATTATGTTTAATTGTGTGGATTTGGGAATGACTTGATTAACTAGATTTTGGCATGAATAATTAACTAATTAAATGCCTAATTATATGTCTATATTTAAGTATATGCTCGATGGCTTTAAATCGATGAATTATGGATATTAGTTTTCTTAATAGTATGTGGTACATATTAGAATGTAGTTTGAGAACAGTTTTGAAAGATTATGCATAGTCAAATTCAAGTTAAGAGATGTTGGGATTGATCTTGTTTTAAAAAAGGGATTTTTTGGTTATCAATTTAAGAACTGATTTTTGGAAAGTTAAGAAAGGATTTGGAAAATGGATTTGTGAAAGTGGATTTATTGGAAAAAAAAGGAATTTTATGATAAATTTCTGAAAATGGTTTTCAAACCCACCACATGAATACCTCCTCAGTTGCCTTCAAAATAGTCTAGTCATTTATAATAATGCTGACAGGACCCGCCCCAGAATTTCCCCTGAAACCGGGGCGGACCCCGTCTTGGCGCTGACATCACACCGATGCCGGGCCCACTTACTAAAAACCCGAGACATCCTACCAAAATTTTGGCATAGTCTCCCCTGTAAAATGCTCAAACCCAACAACATTCAACCTGCATAATTTACATAATATAAACTCAACTACCAGCATGCCTTCAACATACAACAATCCAAAGTAAAGTGGTCTCCGGCCTCAAGTAACAACCTAACATGGGCGATAACAGAGCATCTAACAGAATTTGTTTACAACAAACAGTTGAGTAGAAGGAATTTACACAAGTCCTATTTACGGATGGAATGTTTTGAGCTCGCAACCTGCTCGAATGCTTCCAAGAGCAACTACTGCCTGGGGGGCGCAAAACAGAAATATGTGAGTGGACAAAAATAAAGTTTGCATTTTAAAACAACATAATAACCTCACCGTGTAAAAATAATGCTCTAGCATGCAGTTTCACAATTCATAACCCAAATACTCAAAACACATAAGCCCAAAGTCCAATAAATCTCCAAATCTCAAAACCACAACTCTACTCCCAAAGATATGCAACTCTCATCAACCCATATACATATATATATACACATAACTATAACTATAATATAACATATACTTCTCTCCATACTAATGTACCGGGGAAACAATCCAACCGGGGGATTGTTTGGCTGGTATGCAGGATTTCCGAGCACTAACCCGAGTCCAGGAATGAGTAGTCCAACCGGAGGACAGAACTCCATAGCTCACACGCCGGCACTGCCAACGACACGTGTAGCTCACAAATCTCATAACAAGTCCTACGCGCGCAGACAGTATCATCACCCCACCGGCACTGCCAACGACGTGTGTAATAATACTAAGCAATATACATACTCTTCCCATACTCCAGCACTGCCAACGACACGTATGGGAAGTGTCTCACACACCGGAACTGCCAACGACATGTGTGAGATGCACAATCTCATGGCCTTCCCACCCCACCAGCACTGCCAACGACGTGTGTGGGAAGCCTAGTAACTAGGGAATGGTACTCACCTAACATACTCATACATCTCACAACCATCCCTCAAACTCATATCTTTCCACAATCTCACCATCATACTCTATACATAA